TATTGTAGACTAGATTAATTGTTTAATTATATATTTATTAATAGTAGTAGCAGTTGCTGCAAATATTGGTAAGTAACTTTAATATATAATATCTATTGAGAATGGACCCGCCTATAGACCCTGGGGGAACAGTCCCCCAGGTGTCTGCAAATATAAGTATTCCATTTAACAATTCTTTTGATATTTTATGTGAATCTAGTATGGATACTGATGGGTCTAATATTACAACCACAAAACGTAAGCGAGTAAGGGGCGAACGCCGCATTTGCAAACACTGCAATAAAAAGCGTAGGAGACATCAAAAAGGTACCGAGACAAAATTAAAAGACAGTGACTGTCAATGTGTCGAAGAGGAAAAAAATAATTTAGAAATAATACCTGTAATTGACAATCAAAATTCAGATGTAATACCAGTAGTTGAAAATAATAATACATCCAAAAAAGCCACTCCTTCACCCACTTCTGTAAATAGGACTTTGTACAATACTGAAGATGTAGCACCTTTTGTAGTTCATGTTAAAAAAAATGAAACAAATCCTACAGATAATGTAACATTACACCCCATCGCATTTGGTCGGTTTTTACATACAAATAAGATTTATAATGTTGTGAATGGCAGCCTCAAAAGAATAGGAAGAAACAGATTGGCTCTTGCTTTTTCAAACTTTTTAGATGCTAACTCTTTTTTAAACCACAGTAGTTTAATTGCCTATAATTATAATGCATTTATTCCTTCTTTTAATGTGACCCGCATGGGTATTGTAAGAGGTATTCCTAAAGACTGGACAGATGATGAAGTAATTAGCAATATTTCAGTACCTATAGGTTGTGGAAAATTTTTAAAAATACGTAGAATAAAAAAAAAGACTATAAATGAGGGAGAAACGAACTTTATTAACACTGAAACAGTCGTTATAACATTTGATGGGCAAATTTTGCCAAAAAGAGTATTTATGTTTTATACATCATTAACTGTAGATCTATACATTTATCCAACCATACAGTGCTACAATTGTTGTAGATTTGGACATGTTAAGATGCAGTGTCGTTCAAATCCAAGGTGTTATAAGTGCAAACAAAGTCATACTGGTGATAAATGTGAAACAGATGAAGACAGAATATGCTGTATTCTATGTAATGGTTCTCATTTCGCTATTAGTAAGAAGTGTCCTGAATATTCCCGCCAAAAAGCTATTAAAGAAACCATGGCTCACAGCTGTGTTTCATATGCTGAAGCTATGAAATTTCATCCTCCAACCAGTAAATTATACTCAGATGTATTAACATCGCCACCACCTTCATCTATTAAACCACATATCCAATCTTCTCCACAAAAAGACAAATCAGGCCATATTCAATCTTCTTATAAAAAAACTGTTACACTTAAACCACGTTCTCCACAGAAACCACAACGAGGATATGATCGTTCTGCTCATGAGGCCTTAATTAATGAATATAACATTCCTGCGCCCTCAAATGGCTGTGCACTAAGTAATAATAATAATACTAATAATCAATCTGTTGCTGATATTATATTTATGTTAATTAAATTCTTGACGCAATCTAATATGACACAAACCAATTTTTCACCGTCCAACGCTGCCAACCTGAATGTTATATCTCAAATTTTATCAACTCACAATGGACAACAAAGCCCACATTATTCAGTGGAACTGTCGTAGCATAACAAATAAGAAATCTGATCTATTTTATTTGATAAACAATTTCTCCCCTTTCATTATAGCTCTTCAGGAGACATGGTTAAAACCTGGATATTCATTTAAGATTCCAGGTTACTCATGTTTTCGTGATGATAGAGCTGACGGATATGGCGGTGTTGCCATATTGGTCAAAAACTCCCTTTCATATTTATTATTTTCCCTTCCTTCATTTAATGGAATTAATGCTATTGCATTAATAGTAAATAGTATTTGTTTTGTTAGTTTATATATTCCTACCCCCTCTTCTCAATTATATTCAGAATTAGAAAAAATTATATCTATTTTACCTAAACCTTTTCTTATTATGGGTGATTTTAATGCCCAACATCAATCGTGGGGCAGTACCACCTCTAATTATTACGGTGAGAAAATTATAAGTATAATCGACAGTCATAACTTATGTATAGTTAACTCGGGTGTACCAACACGTAGAACTGGCCCAAATGAAGGTGTTAGCGTCCCTGATATTTCTCTGTGTTCTTCTGATTTAGCTTCTTCGTTTTCGTGGTCTCCTCACTACTCATCATTCGGAAGTGATCACTTTCCCCTTATTTTATCTTTACCTCATTCCATTCCTCCAAATCGGAAAACCGGTCCTCGTCTTAAATATAACTTAATGAATGCAGATTGGGTGACGTTTAAACAATATGTAGGCAATAGGATTTCAAAACTACCTTCTGTTTCTCACGGAAATGAGCACCAATGTTCGAATAGTTTAGTAATGGTTATGAAGGAAGTTGCTGATATGCTATTTCCTATAAAAAATAGTGCTTCAGGAAAAATTCCATCCCCTCCTTGGTGGGATAAAGAATGTACAGACGTCATTAAACAGCGTAAAGAAGCTGAAAAGAATTATAACAAGTATATGACATCAGAAAACTATGAAATTTATTGTGAAATATCTCGTTCCACCCGGAAACTACTAAAAAAGAAGAAGTTGGAAGGTTGGAGAAAGTTTTGTTCCTCAATCTGTCCCGAAGTTAACCTCTCTGTCGTTTGGAATAATATTAAAAGATTTAGATCTGTATATACCGGACACACATCGCTTTCCATAATGGATTCAAAATTAGCAGACGAATTTTTAGACCGCCTTGCACCTAGTTACGTTCCAGAATATCATAATCAGCTTTCTCCACCAACCCAATTATCGAAACTCGATTCCCCTTTTAGTCTTATTGAATTTAAAGGGGTATTATCACATATTAAAGATTCTGCACCGGGAGAGGATGGTATACCGTACTCATTTTTTAAAAATTCTAATGATACAACACTAGATTACTTTTTAGATTTAATTAATTCAGTAATGATATCCGGTAAGATACCTCCGTCATGGAAATCACAAATTATTATACCTTTTCTGAAACCTAATAAACCACCTTCGGAGCCCTCTTCTTATCGCCCTATAGCACTTTCATCGGTATTACTGAAATTGGCTGAACACTTGGTGAAAAATCGTCTGGAGTGGTTTGTAGAAAGTAATAACTTACTTTCACCAAACCAGTTTGGATTTAGGAAGGGTAGAGGTACGTTAGATAACGTTAGTATTTTAACCTCAGATATTCACATAGCATTTTCGCAAAATGTGTCGATTTTATCAGCTTTCTTGGATATTAGTTCTGCCTATGACAACGTCCTAATTACAATTCTTAGAACTAAATTGATAGCCTTGAATATTCCATTTATGCTTGCTAATTTTATTATTAATATTTTGTCAGAGAGAACAATAAAATTGGATTTAGGTGATGATAACAAACTATCCAGATCAGTATGGAAAGGTCTGCCTCAGGGATCAGTACTTAGTCCAATTTTATTTAATATATATACATATGACCTTGAAACATCTCTTAGCAAATCCGTTAAAGTATTGCAATACGCGGATGACCTATTAATTTATTTAATAGATCATTCAATTCAATCTGCCTGTCAAAAATTGTCTGATAATCTTGACTTGTTGAAATTATGGTTAGACGCAAATGGTCTCGAACTTTCTGTATCGAAAAGTAGTGTAGTACTATTTACAAGAATGCGATCACCACCGCAAGTGAAGGTTTTCTATGATAGTTGTTACATCCCGGTTAAAACAGAGATTAAATTTTTAGGCATCGTCTTAGATAATAAATTAACTGGTTTATCCCACTGTAATTATATTTCTGCTAAATGCGAACGAAATCTAAATATTCTTAGATGTCTAGCAGGTGTATGGTGGGGAGCACATCCGTATTCTTTAAAACTAGCGTATAATGGCCTTATAAGGAGCGTCCTTGATTATGGAACTTTTTTGTTAGCGCCGGGAAGTTCTTTTGCCTTTAAGAAACTGGACCTAATACAATCCAAAGCTTTGAGAATTATATCCGGAGCAATGAAATCAAGCCCAATCAATGCTTTACAGGTTGAAATTGTAGATCCACCTCTAGATTTAAGAAGACAATATCTAGCTGATCGTTTTCATGTTCGCTGCTTACAGTTGTCTAACCATCCACTTATCTTAAAACTTCCACAAATACATCAGTATGTTACCTCATCTTCTTATTGGATACACAAAAAACCTCCATGTTTAATAAAAAGCTTTGAAAAATATAAAGGAATATCTGCACCAATGTTTACTTCCTCTTGTTCTCCAGTCTATAAATACTCATATGAATCTCTGAATTTATGCCCTAACATTTATTATGACATAGGAATTTACAAAAATGATACGGAACAGGCAGCTAAATTCAAATTTATAATAGACACACAATGGAATGGATGGCATTGCATTTTCACAGACGCCTCAAAATCAAATAATTGTAGTTGTGTAGGTGTTGGTGTATTTCACGTGCAGTACAATATTGTTCAAAAAATTAAACTTCCACCAGAGTCATCAGTGTTTACTGGGGAATGTATGGGTATTTTAAAAGCAATAGAATATGTACATATAATGAAATTACAAAAAGCAATCATTTTTACTGACTCAATGTCTTCACTACAAGCGTTAGACAAATATCCTTTAAAATCGAAATCACTTCATTCTATTATTTACGATATACGAGAAAAACTTCAACTGTGTACATTAAAAGAATATTCCGTTTCTTTTGCTTGGCTACCGGGACATTCTGGTATTCCAGGAAATAATAGGGCAGACCAAATTGCGAAGGAAGCTGTGCTTTGTGGAGATATGTTTCCTTATAAAAACTATTACAATGACCTAGCGTGTCTTCCAAAGTTGTATCTTAATAAATCTTGGAAGGAATATTGGCAGAACAGTAGTAAAACGAAAGGAAACCTTTACTATCAGTAGGTCTACCACGAAGTGCAATTCCGAAATTTCGGATCGATATTTCGTGTGATTCGTACCATGAAAAACGTTCATTCCGAAATCGTGCCCGAAAACGGAGAATATCGTTTCGATCGTCCCAAATCGTACCATGAAGTGTCCGTTCGTACGTTATTATGACGTTTTGACAGCACGTTTATCGTGATTTAAAGTGCGAAGTAGACGAAACCTAAATAGTTAACTTTTTACTTTCGTAAGTATGGATTTTACGTATATAAGTGCTGTAATATATAAAAAAGTGATTAATTAATAATTCAGTTAATGTGTTACAGTGAATAATGTGATAAAAGTTAAACTATTTAGTGTTTTTAAATATTATTGTGTTCAACATAACCTACAACTTAGCATTACTTTATTTTGATGTTTTAGTTTCATTATGGCAAGATTGGCTGGAATTTTAGAAGCCCTCAATGAAGAAGAAATTGAAAGACGCAGGTTTAAAAGAAAAATGCGTACTAGGTACCTGCAAAGATCCATTCCCGACTTCGAGTTTGTATCTAAATACAGACTCAGTCGGGAACTCTTCGAGAATCTTTGTCAGGATGTGGTACGATTATTACCCCCGACTAAAAATAGTCGGGCAATCGATCCAATAACCAAAGTAAGAACTTATGTACATTTTGTAGATGAAAAAATTTAGTATTTACCTATTATTTAGTATTCCCATATCTATATTTTTTTTTCAGATTCTCACTGCATTAAATTTTTATGCCAGTGGTAGCTACCAGGGTGCAGTCGGACAAAATTTAGACACCCCTATGGCGCAGCAGTCTGTCTCAAACTGCATCAGGGATGTAACAGATGCCCTAAATACACCCTATGTACTGAGGAAATATATAAGATTTCCTCAGTCCAGGGAAGACAGGAATGTATTGAAGAGAAAGTAAGTTTATGTATATTAAATATGAGTAATATTTAACTTTATAGAATTTTGTGATCTTTGTCAATTTATAATATATATACTATTAATTTAGTTCAGTCAACTATTTGTAGCTGTAAATTTATAAATGATATTGTTGTTAATTTCAGGATTCAGCATAAGTTAATAGATGTTTAAATAATCAATAGTTTATATTTCTTTTTCAGTTTTGCTACACAGTATGGTATCCCTGGTGTTATAGGATGTATCGACTGCACCCATGTAGCTATAATTCGGCCAACAGTCAATGAAGAGAGATTTTTCAATAGAAAACATTACCACTCTTTAAATGTTCAAGTTGTAAGTACAGTATTTTATGTAAAATTTGCATAGTGTATAAATAATTCTCAAGTTATTCATATTTGTCACTATCTGCAAATATCTTTATAATGTTTGTCCTATTTTTTAGATTGCTGATAGTAATTTAAAAATTATGAATATTGACGCCTCTTATGGTGGTGCCACTCATGATGCATTCATTTGGGAGCATAGCGAGATCAAAGATCATTTGGAGAGTCTTCAAGGAGAAACAACTTATTTGCTGGGTAAATAAATTTACTTTTCAGTTGTACTACATATAAAATTGGTGAACAAACAAGAATACAATGTTTTGTCATTCCTTTTCATTATTAGGATGTCATAAAAGATGATTATAGGAACAAACGACAAAAATATATATGTACTGATGCAAGAGAAGGAAAAATTTTGCCACAGAATAGTTGATATTATATGATAATGTTATTTTAATAATTATAAGACTTATAGAAAAATATTAATTATTATAGGTGATTCAGGGTATCCTTTAAGGGTATACCTTATGACACCCTATGAAAACGCTGTTGAGGACTCTCCTGAGGACAGATACAATTCCCGTCATATGCGCACCCGCAATACAGTAGAACGCGTCTTCGGAGTATTAAAAAGTCGTTGGAGATGCCTTCTTGCAGCTAGAGAACTGCACTATGCTCCAAGGGCAGCGGGAAGGATCAGTATTGCTTGTGCTGTTTTACACAATATGTGTATAGACCAAAATTTGACGACTCCAGACTTGTCATCTGAAGATATAAACTATGAGTCAGCCCGGCAACCTTCAGCTACAGTGTGGCATCAGTCATCAACTGCTGCACTTGATCGAGGGAGAGCAACAAGAAATAGTTTAATACAGCGGCTTGAGCAATCTAGATAGAAACATTTAAATATTAGGTATACAATAAATTTCTCTAGTACTCTAATCTATATTAATAAAATAAGTGATTATTTTATTAATGCCATCAATTTAAAATTGTGCTAATACCTATTTAATGACCTTGTGGTTTGACATACAGCTGCTTTTGATAGTTAAGGGTTCGATTCCTATAAAATACAAACATCAGAATTCATGATTCAATAAATAAATATTAATTTGTATTTCAGTATTTTTTGTTAGATGTTATTAGCTGATAAGTCTATATATATATATATATATATAAGCTATCAAGTGCATTTATCAAATTTCAAGTCTCACAGTTAAGTATGTTTTCTTTTCTTTCAGGTATATAAAGATTAGAAGAGAGCCATACATTCTATTTGTGGTATGGGTTCGAGAGTCATTACGTCAATGCTTTAAAGAATCAAATATCACTGTTGCCTCACAGTACATTCAGGAATATATTATGTATACAAGGAAAAACTTCAAGAAACTTAAAGACTGTACAAGTAGAAACTTATGCAATAAAAATATACTAATTTTACCTAAATACCGTCAAAATTGATATTAAACAAATGTTATGTAAAAAAGCCTATTATAGGATAGATGAATTCATAGATGACAAATAAATGATTTTCTATTCTATTAGAAGTTAAAGCATTACTTATTTACAAAATAAAAAACTTTTTACAATAAAATATTTTTATTTTATAATCATGTATATGTAGGTATACATTTTTTAAAATAACACTAATTATAAATTATTAAAACATCAATTCAGAAAAATGTTGTATAAGTATATGCAAACTAAGTAGTGTAGTTCAAGGCGCATTAAATTAATGACCAGTAAAAAACTGTAGTTTAGTAGATAAACTGGTAAGACAAATATATTTATATAAAGCTAAGTAACATTTTTATACTCATTATTTAACAAATCAACAAACTAACATAATTCAACAAATCAACAATGATATATATAAAGCTAAGTAACTTTTTTATACTTATTATTTAACAAATCAACAAAGTAACATAATTAAACAAATCAACAATGATATATATAAAGCTAAGTAACATTTTTATACTTATTATTCAACAAATCAACAAAGTAACATAATTAAACAAATCAACAATGATATATATAAAGCTAAGTAAAATTTTTATACTTATTATTCAACAAATCAACAAACTAACACAAATCAACTTTGATCATATAAAATTAAAAAAAAAACAAAACTTTATCTATTCATTCGTCTTAATTCTATTAGTAGACCCTCCAATCCATCCCTTATTAATACATTTAATTCTTGGAGTGATTGGCGAATCAGCCCTAACTCTTCCACCCGTCGATCCTCCGCTGCGATTCGCCGCTCCTCCATTTCAAATAAACGCCTGCGTACACTGCGAGGTCCAATGGCGTCTGCTCGACGGCGTCGTCGCTCTGGACGTGTAGTAGTCGTTGAAGTTCTAAAAAACAGTTTTTTTTTAAATAATTCTTATCATTATTGTTTTCGGTATGTATGATTGGTACTAATAACAGACTTGATGTCTAGGAATATACTAGTGTGATTAGGGACTATAAGCCCCCATTCTGTAAATATTATGATTATTAGTATAATCATAATATTTACAGAAATATTTTCATATAACAATAATTTATTTATGATATATTTTTTTTTAATCAATAATAAGGTATAAGTAATAGTGTTATTTATTAGTACTGTCTTATCTTTACTTCTTAGTTAACATTGAAAAACTGTGTATACATATATAAAACTGTAAAAATTAAATTGAATGTATGAAATAATAAGAGGCATTTGGAAGACAGACATATTATAAAGATAATATCACCACTATCATCTCTTTCTTCAGCAGTGTTACTTATAATAAAATAAATTATTTATTTCCATTCTTTTAGTAAATTCTTTAAAGTTGATCATCAGCAGTCTGAAAATCCATGTCAGGACTTCCAGGCAATCCAAATCTAGCTCACAAAAAAACTGCTATAATATGTTTTAACATATAAAAATTACAAACACAAATATACTGAATATGGCAGTTGCCTGTACTAACTAATGGCTAATGCAGCGCTGGTCATCAAATGTCTTACCAACTATTTTCGACATCATCTTTCACACAGTCCATTCATCTTTTTGGTCATCAAATCAATTAACAAATAATTTATTATAAATACATACTTGATCATTCTAAATAGTTTCAATCAACATTAGATTTCAATCAACATTATGAAATGCCCAAAATGTTTTGAAAATGTACAAATATAACTAAGGCAACTTGTCTTAATTATATTTATGCATTAGAAAATATGAACCCGTGATGTTGCATCATTTGCTGAGGATTTTGCTGCTGCTGCTGCTCTATATTTTGAATCTCTAATGGAGTTTCATCTGCTGAGCTGGGCACCTAAAAAAATTTATATACATTAGCTGTTTCCAGTGTCTATGCCTTCACTCATTAATATATTAAGTATTCTATGTGTTTACTTTGACACATAACTTATATAACTCATATTTCAGCTGTTCTTGCATAGCTGTATTTCAGTTTGAAAGGTGGGAAAAGGCTGTGTAGGTACCTTATATACAGAAATAAAAGGAATGGTAATGCATGAGGAATACTATGGAAATCACCATGTATTTTGATGACATCCATGATGTTATATATGTCTAGAGATAACAGTTAGCACTATTTTAGTAATGGTTTTACAACATACCTCTGGAAATGCAGGAACATGTGCATCCGACTGAGGTTCTCCAAAGCCCTCTCCCATAATGTCCAATATTCTGCTCTGTATTGGGTTTAAAGGCTCAGCAGATGATGGCCCTCCTCCAGTGGCTGTGGCAGACCTTCGAGCAGCAGCAGCAGCTTTTTTAGTCAGATATTTTTTGTCAGCCCATACCTAAAATTTATAAAGTATGAGTATTGGAAAATTTTATTTAATAACAAAATTGTTTAACATTTTAAATGCATATCACATACTAAAATATCAAGAAAAGTGCTTACCTTCTGCCACTGCTTTATAGTTTTAGTGCATCCACCCAATGCATTGAGTTCGTCTGTGAGACGAACCCATAATTGGGTGGATCTTGTTCGCCCTTCTGCATTTCTACAGAGGCCACGAGCTAACTCCTGGTGCTCTGATAGGTATGTTAGGAGTGTATCCACTTGTTCCACAGTGGGATTACTCATCTATATGCATAAATACATTTGTTAGCGCTTGTCATAAATAGAAACTCATAAATAAAATCAAAGTTATTAGATGTTCATTTTCATTGATGTTTAACGAACAAATTTAACAATAAAAAATCATTTTAAAACTTAATAAATTAGTAAATATCTTACCTTTTATTATTCACAAGTGTAAATAATATTTTCTTTTATGATTTTTAAGTTTATATATAAAAACAAAAATATTTGTAATACGCAGTACCGTTATTTTCAAACATAAATAGAGGTTTGATGTTTTCTTATGACATAAAATACTACTAATTTTAGAAGTTTATAATTTCAATACATTTAAATATAAACGACTGTACATTTTATTTTATCCGGATTATACAACTTTATTTTTTTCCTAATTTAAGAGTGTATAATCCCATCAAAAACATAAATGTGAAATGATAGCCGAGTTTAATATTATGATATATGCCTTGATTGTTGACTTCTACGACAAAAGAGATGAGATCTATATGGGTGCCAAGTTCAATGGTCTGTCCTGAAATGTATTTATAACAATATAAAATATCATTTCTTCTTATAACTTAGGATAATATACTGTAGCCTAAGGTCTAACTTGGCCAGTTCTCATATACCAATTATTACTTTCGATTGCTAGTTACTATTAATATTAAAATAGGAACCGACAAGTAACATGTTTAGAACTTGCGAAGGCTACAGTATATTTCGTATATGAAAACTAGCCAAGTTAGACCTTAGGCTACAGTATATTATCCTAAGTTATAAGAAGAAATGATATTTTATATTGTTATAAATACATTTCAGGACAGACCATTGAACTTGGCACCCATATAGATCTCATCTCTTTTGTCGTAGAAGTCAACAATCAAGGCATATATCATAATATTAAACTCGGCTATCATTTCACATTTATGTTTTTGATGGGATATCATTACTTTTTGTACATAAATTATACGAGGTACATATTTATAACTAAATTAATACCAAATTATTTTTGATAAATTACTGTATTTTCGTATATTTACGGGGTATAATTGTCTTTTTTTTGTGTTATTTTCTATATTTTCTTGTAACTTTTAAATGTTGAAGTCCAAAGCAAATTCAGTATCAGGAATTTTTGGGAAAATCGGGGCGGTATAACGTCCACTGATGGTTGTACTCTACAATAGAGCTCTCGTGACTTGGATCTAAATTGTTAAGACGTACCCCATCTAAGGTTTTAACTCTGGAGAGTCCAACGTAAACCTGCCCTTTATTAAATATAGAGGAGCCTATGTTGAGAAGAGGACTGCCAAAACTAAGGCCTTGTGATTTGTGGATAGTAATAGCATATGTTAAGCAAATACGGAATTGTTCTCTTTCAACATATACATTATTTAATATCTGAAACTTCGTATTGACACGTTATAGTTCGTAAAGACGATTATGTAACAAATTGACTGTTATCTATTGAATTCTCAAGAAAACAATTTGTTACCAATGAGTTCTCATTCTCGAGTTAACTATACATTCCTACTTATAACTATACTAAAATTGTTATTAATTTTTGGTTTAAACTATTGTCTATACCATACGTATTTACTAAAATAATGTAATAATAATATAACCACAAATATATAAGTATAATTTAAGAAAGCTATAAATTTCGTAGCATAAATCGCAACCTTATAGGTTAGATATCGAGAAACAAAACATTGAGACATATGAGGGCGGCTGCCATTCGCTCGGACAGGTTCGCGTCAACGTTTTATCGCTCCGCTCCCACACGCGCGCCGCGGCGCCCTATACCGAAATGTCTATTATTTAATAATTATTTATAAAAATAATGATTTTACACTATCGATGTGCGCTAAATATTGAAATAATAATTAATACCAAATCTCAGTTAATAACATAATAAATACGAAATTCGACTATACTCCTAGTTATAAGTACGAGTATATTTTAGACAGAATCTAAATTATAGCAACTAGTGTTTACCGCTCAATGCAATATTTGTGTTTGCTAGTTATCGACACTGATGTGAAGGGGTCAACGTAAATTGGTAATGATCGACGTTTTCATACAATATTACTTTCCGTCCAGTACAAGATGAGATTTTTCGCCAGGGATCAATGTCAATTGGTGGCTATCGACGTTTTCATAGAATTTTAGTATTCGTCCAGTATAAGTTGAAATATAATCAATTAAAGTGAAAAATTGTACTAAAATGATAACAATTTACCAGTTTCAGATTTTTTCCTTTATATTCACCTAATTACCTATCTGCATGCCAAATTTGAACTTCCTAGGTCATCTGGAAGTGGGTTATAATTTTGATCTATAGTTGATCAGTGATAAAAATGACGATTTTTGGACATTAATATCTAAATAACCGTTTGAGATATGTTTATGAAATTTGGAACACATATTTATCTCGCAAGTCTCAATATATAAACCAAATTTGACAGGTTTGTGTGATAGAGTTTTTGAGTTATGAGGGGGTCAAAAGTGGCTCCAAATGGTTCGTGTAAATATACACACGGTGCTGCAGGCCAGTTTACTTGAAACTCGGCTTGACACGCTGCCGCGTGTCTAGATAAAAGACCTCTCATCTTTCATTCGTTCACGATCATAGTCTATGGTACCCGTCCGAAATATCTTATTCCGAAGAAACTTCATGGTTCCTGTAGTATATATATCTTTCGTTTCGTTACGCGATAATCGGCAGTAACTTTCGTGGTAGACCTACAGGTACAACCCGACATTCCTATAAAGCCCTGTAGGTCTACCACGAAAGTTACTGCCGATTATCGCGTAACGAAACGAAAGACGACCGAAATACTAGTTTAAAGGAACCATGAAGTTTCTTCGGAATAAGATATTTCGGACGGGTACCATAGACTATGATCGTGAACGAATGAAAGATGAGAAGTCTTTATTATACACTCTTAAATTAGGAAAAAAATAAAGTGGTATACTCCGGATAAAATAAAATGTACAGTCGTTTATATTTAAATGTATTGAAATTATAAACTTCTAAAATTAGTAGTATTTTATGTCATAAGAAAACGTCAAACCTCTATTTACATTTGAATTTTTGTTTTTATTTTTTTATATATAAACTTAAGAATTATCATCACAAGTGTTTTTAAATAATTTTTTATTGCTAAATTTGTTCGTTAAGAGGCCTATTACAAAATGATGCCGCTCAACTTTAGGTATAATCGCATGGATTTATGCACACATACAGTAATACACGCACACAGACGCAAATAACCGTGTAGCTCAATCGGTGTGGATTTAGTATGAACCATTTTGATCCTTGTAATATTTTAATTAATAATGTGATATGTTTCTACTTAACTAAGTAACATAAACTACTTATTGTATTTTTTTAAATAACGTGATTTATCTTAATTATCAAAGTGCTAATAATGACCATATTTTTTTATTATATTATTCCTAGAGGGTTGATGTCAGGATGCTGGCCGATTGTACAACTAAAAGCCAAAACCTTAAGTAATATGAGTAACAAATAATTGGGACAGGAAGACGAAATTACTATAACATAAATTTACTAATTAATTCTTCTTACGTATTAATTCAGTTTATTTATTAATAGATACAATATAATTTATTATAAGAGTCGGATACATTATTGCCATATTCACTTGTTCTAAATATTATACTTAGCAAATAATTATTTTATTTATATATAATAGTTGTGTTTTCAAGGCTTTGTTTTGATTTAAAGGTCCCATCCTTATATGTATATTAGGTGTGTCCGCGACTTCGTCAGCGTGGTATAATGAAATTGACCAAATAAAGGACAATATTTGATTATAACCTAAAAAAAGTTTCTTTGTTTCACTTAAACAATGACGATACTTCATTCATCTCCGCTTTTAATCCCTTACAATACTTTTTTCGCACTATAAAGTAGTCTATGACCTTTCTCAGGGTATACTATCTGTGTATATGTATATCTATCTATATAGACTACCTGTGTATATATATGGTAGTGAATTTACAAGGTACAGGGGAATAACACCCGAGTTTTCAGGAATGGCAACGCATGAGGGAAACAATGTGCTGATATGAACATGTCAGGTACTATGTATATAGGCGACGGTTACCCCTTTCCATCAGGAGAGCCGTCAGCTTGTTTGCCATTCTAAGTTGTAAAAAAAAAGCTTCAACTGCTATCATTGCTGTTCCTGAATCATTGACGTCGCCGCATGATATTGGCTGATATTGCAGCTTCTCGTTCTTGGTTGGCCGATTCTTGATTCTTGATAAATAATTAATTGTTAATGTCAAACCTTTTTATAAATTATTATAAGACGCCTCATTCATTATATGTAATGAAATCACCATGAGCTATAGAGATTTTGGACAGAACCTTAAAAGACCTTAGAAACACCTCTGCTCTCATTGGCGGGATTACTTTTATACTTTTGCTGGAGATTTCTGAAAGACTCTCTGTGTCATTAACATCGTCTCCCTTATGGACTTTAATTGAAAGTTTAAAACTATCAAATTTGAGAGCTCATTTTTATGGAAGCACAGATAGTGATTTCCCACACTAAATGCTCAAACTTGAGGAAGGAATTAAAAGCATGATCCAGTCATGAAATTTAAGGAACATGTGCAATGGCGTCCCATTGGATATATTGCTTACTAAAGAATTGAAAGACAATTTAATTGTAGACCATTATAACCGGTACGTTAGCTGGGCAACCAGCTTATATACCAAGAATACCGATGATTCCAACGGATCTGCCAATACCATTTTAACGGCTTCAATTTCCGGTTAAAATATCATCTACACATGTAATAGATCTATGCATGTTTTGATCTTAAAAAACTACGCAGATTTTGATTCGTTGTTATTTAATAGACAGAATAGATAGACTCAAGAGGAAGGTTTATATATAACATCCCAATACTGTACACGGATCTTTAAACGCGCGATAACCTATATATCCCATATTCACGCGGGCGAAGCCGCGAGCTAAAAGCTAGTCTCTAAATAAAAACATTTATAATGTTGTTGACTTTTCACCCAAACACGCATAATTATTTGACATAACTGTACAGTAATGAAAGTCCAACGAGTATAATAACAGAATAGCTGCAATTTAGAAATATCTGTATTGTGTAAAATAAAATAAAATTGGATAAAATATCTCTAAACATTAAGGAATATAATTTATATATAATTTGGTAATTTATTT